AGATAGAGAGAGAGAGAGAGAGTGTGTGTGTGTGTGTGTGTGTGTGTGTGTGTGTGTGTGTGTGTGTGTGTGTGTGTGTGTGTAGGCCATTTGGAAGGACACCCCTAGACCACCTAGAGTACTCCCTACTCTAGAGTGGGGAGTAGGACATGAGGGAGACCCCATGGGAGCACCCCATGGTGTCTGTGTAATTTACACATTTGCTCTGTGTATTTTATTGCTTGAATCTGTTGCAGAAAGTAGAAATAGAAGAACATTTTGTAAAGGCAAAGATGCTTGTGTAAGGTCCTTCTTTGTGCATTAATTCTCTGATCATAAAGGATGTAACTGCACTCAGAGCAGTTTGAACCCAAAAAGGTCAGAATAAAGCTCAGTGGCAGAGGCAGTGTGTTCCCATAGCCTCTGTGAGAAACACCAAGCCATAAATAAGAACTAGCCTTTCTTGGAACCACAGGTAAGTGTATTAGTGTCAAAGATGACCACTGGGCAGTTTAAAAGCCAAATCCTGATAAATAATAGGGCAAGATAAACCCTAGAGCAGGGCCACTTACACTGTGCTTACAGGCCTCAATACCAAGCAGTCTTGATCCGATTCTGCTTGTGGTGTTTTGTGACAGGCATAGGGAGGAAGGCAGGTGAAAGAAGACATGGTACCTTGCATGAGCACCTCCATGGCTGTCCTTGGCTTGGACAGCCGTCTCTCTTCCAGCTCACTGTCAGATTCATCATCCTCCTGGATGTCAATGTCTGAGTCATCATTACCTGACAGGAACACAAGCAGACAAAAAAAAAAGGGTGGCTACATTATTATTTCTAAAACAATCTCTGTCCAATAAGGCTCTTGTGCAAGTCATCTGCGCTTCACAGTCTTTTTTTCCCCTGTCTTTATTGAAATAGACAATTAGTTGCTTGTATTTACATTGTACAATTCAATGAGTTTATTTTTTCAATTATACTTGGCATACAATAATATACCAGTTTCAGTTTTACAGCAGTGATCAGAGATCCACGTAACTCGCAAAGTGATCACCCCACTAAATCTAGCACCCCTCCTCCCTCCTTACATATTTATTACATTATTAACCCTCTTCCTCATGTTACACTCTATATCTCTCTGTCAATTCTGCGACTATCCATTTGTTCCTCTTAATCCCTTTGCCTTTTTTTGTCCCCTCAACCCCCCTTCCATCTAGTATCCCTCTAAATATTCTCTGTATCTATGAGTTTTTTTCTACTTTTGTTGTTGTTGATTTTGTTCTTTAGATTCCACATGTACGTGAAATCATGCGATATTTGTCTTTCTCTATCCGACCCATTTCATTCAGTGCAATACCCTCTAGGTCCATCAAGGCAATATTTTTGTCCATCCCCTACCTTTTAGTCTGTGTGTGTCTTTTAATCTGAAGTGAATCTCTTGTAGGCAGCATATGGAGGGGTCTTGTTTTCTTATCCTTCTTTAAGAATAAAAACATGTATCAAAAACATGAATAAAGAATGGTTACAAGTACCTCAAATGGAAAAGAATTCATTAAGTGCTCCAACCAAAAGATAGAGTGGCTGCATG